TAGAAATTGGACATCAGAACTGTCTAGCAGCAATGTACTGTAAATCCTGAATGGAAATTGGATATCAGAACCCACTAGATAGTACATTTGTATATAGATAATGACGATGTAATACACAAATTTACTATCTAGTGGATAGACAGTTTTAATATCTAATTTCCATTCAGGATTTACAGTATATTGCTACTAGATAGTTACAAGATAGCGTTTGATATTCAATTTCTATTCAGGATTTATCAAATTTTCCATCTCGTCACTGTGTAATTTTTTTCGTCTAGCCATTAGATAAAACGACGTTGAGTAAACTATATGTAGCTAATATGAAACTACCGGCTATAGTAGTGATCTAGTAAGTAAAGTGTCAGACTCAAGAGCTACAGATCTCAGGTTTCTAGTCCCGAAGGGTAAAATGAATTTTTCCAATAGAATGGAAATAATACGTAATGACAAAGAATTACAGGAAAAATTACAGAAAAATCACTCGAATTCGAGTAACTCGACTGTCACTCTACTTTTCGAGTGAAATTTTATTCCAAGAAAATTAGAGAGTAAAACATGTTTAACTTTTTAAAAGCAAACTTTTTAAAAGTAACTTTTCTAATTCTGGCTATCATCTCCATTCCGATTTAGGCGAAGTTACGTCTTCATACTGATATCATTGATACCAGAATACATGATATGTTACATTGGAGCAATGCGCTTTGTCTCTGCTTTCAATAATTTAATAAGTAGTAGCTTTCAATAATTTAATGTTCGATCGAACTTATTTGACACAACTTATTATTGCAAAATTACACTTTTTATTATTATAAGAACCAATTGATACTAAATGTGTCTAATTAGATATTATTACAAAATAAATAGATTTAATGTCTTAATTACTGCTTCTGCTTTTAATATTATGAAAAATAATGTATATATGAGAGTCAGCATTTCTGACATTATTTATTATTACAAAAGCCATATCGTATCAGCCAAGATACATTTGGTATGTCAGAAATGCTGACCCTCATATATACATTATTTTTCATAATATTAAAAGCAGAAGCAGTAATTAAAACATTAAATCTATTTATTTTTAATAATATCTAATTAGACACATTTATCAATTTGTTCTTATAATAATGAGAAATGTAATTTTATTGGCTAGTATTGAAAGTAGTTATGTAATTTTTTTTGCTAGTATTGAATATTATTACAAACAAAGAGACCACACGTAAGAGTAAGGCGCTGTTTTAAATATTTGTATAAATAATATATACGTCAGAGTATCATATCAGCCAAGATACATTTGGTATTGAATATTATTACAAGCAGAGACCACACGTAAGAGTAAGACGCTGTTTTAAATATTTATATAAATAATATATACGTCAGAGTAAGTTCTTTTGACATTCCTTATTATAAAAAGCAAATTGTGTCACCTAAGATATATTTGGCATCCGTATAAACCTACCTTCCTTTTTAAAAAAAAGTAAAAAAGACGCCAAGTTCACGCGCTTGCCCGCACGAATATAATTATTATATGTATCGACAAGTCATATAAAAAATATTTATTTATAAAATATATTTTGTAATGTTAATAAGAAATATTGTAAAATAATATATATAAAAATATTAAAAATTGTTTAAACTTCTATTTTATAAAAAAAAATGATATCCGATAGTTATGTCAAGTGACAATAATTTATGTGTTTCTCTATACAAATACAACTACAAAAGGAAATGTATCCATATGAATTCACACGCGCACACACTTTTGGAAAACGAATCTAAAAACGTTAAAAAATAATATTGTTTAAAATTCTATTTTCTACATAATCATGTAAAAAATCACTAAAAAATCATATAAAAATAAATAAAAAATTATATAAAAATAATATGAAAAATAAAGATAAAATAAAATTAAGATTCACACAAAAATACTTGACGTACCCGGGTCGCATTAATACTTTCAATGCTTTACACAAAAATTTTTGATGTTATTCAATGTAGAGCAAAACTAAAGAAAATTTTCTGATATAAATCGATATAAATCGATATAAATCAATATTGAGAAATTGATTAAACCTATTTAAAACTTGATTGGATCAGTCGTTATAGCAAAATAAAAAATTTTACCTCCGGTCAACTAAAGGCATCGTGTATAATATACGCGGCCGTCTCATGTCCGTTCGTCGCTTCGCGCGTTCACTTGGCGCGAGACACTGCCGCGTCTCTTGATCAAGTATTATTAAAGGCAAGCAGACCACACGTATGAATCATTGGCCATCAGGTAACCATTAGGAAACAGCACACGTAAAAAAAATACCTGTAGCAATAGTTACTGACAAGCAGCTACTAACAGGTGCCATATACGTTAAAAAAGCCGCATGTGGCAGTAGTTACTGACAAGCAGCATAAATAAAACAATTTTAGTAATTATTGACAAGTACCATATACGTCAAAAAAGATGCATGTGACAGTATTTACTGACAAGCAGCAATGTCGAATAAGACGACTTTGGTATTAACTGCTGAGAAGCAGCGCATGTCAAAAAAGACGACTCTTCTGCTAATTATTATTACGTATATACTATTATGTACATTTTGCCTTTGCTCTTCACCCGTATTTTATTTTTCCTAACTTACTGCAGTCATCTGCTGTTAAGAGACTATGCTGTTCTTTGTATACAGTGTCAGGGGTCTTTTGTTCAACGTAGAACTTCGCCAGTGAAGCGCATTCGAGCCCGGACTAGAGTAAGCGTCTTTCCCCTTCCATTTATACATAGGCCACTCTATTTATCTATGTGATTACGATCGCCGCATAACGTGTACGTAAATGGAGAGAGAAAAACCATCAACGTATAATATGGACTACGCATCCGTACGTGAAAAATCCTTATAAAAGCGTCTACAAAATTAGATAAAGAAGAAACGCGGTAGTCAATGACTTTCTCTTTGTAATATTCCTATTGACTGTTTTTGTTACCGTTCTTACTGATTAGAAAAAAACAGCTTGACCGCTACTGATCACTGTCTCTTTCTTTCAGGCAACAATACTTTTCCATACCTGTGCGTAGTTCATACTACACATCGATGAGAAAAACGCTTACTAGCCCAGGCTCGAATACATATCACTGAACTTCGTGCGCATATATATTTCAGCGCTTCTAGCGTAATATACAGTAAACTGTTAGACGCGTCCAAGCTGCTCTGTTTTACCTATATCTTGAGAAATGCATGTACGCAATTTTCTTTGGTATTTTTTCTAAGTTTTTAAATATATTTATGTTAATTGAATATTGTTTCTAAAAGCATACTATAGTACGCCATTGTTTTGTTTTTTTTTTTTATTTAAATTGCATGACTTTTATAGAAAGTACAAATAAACAGAGAACATTAGGTTAAGAACTAACTAAAAAAATTTCGGTTTTCTTGGAAAATAAATAAAACCACATCTATGCATTTCCAAGAAATTCAAATTATTAATGAAATTGATCAAATACAATAACAAGTTATATTTCAAGTTCATATTTTTTTTCTTATAATTGATATTAACATCAGTATAAATATTTTATAATTTTTATTTTATCACTTTTAAAATAAAATACAATTAGATATTATGACATTTACGAATTTCATCTCTCCAATATTAAATTGGTGGTAAATAAAAAATAATATAAAATTATTTTTTCAATCATATTAGACAATTTTCTTAATACTGATTAACCAAAGAGTTAAAATATTACATCAATATTAAAAATATTGACTGACTAGAAAGTTAGAAGCTCCTTAATAACATCAGACATGTTACCAGAATATTTCAAAACGTCACATAATATAATATTCTATAGATGTGTTTTTACAACAATTAGATGCCGAATTGTTGAAGTAAATTATATGATAGCAAAATAGTTGAATTCATACGGATCGGCGAGCGTGAAAGACGATATCGAAGTCGAAATAAACATAAGATCACAAATGGTTAAGAATATAAATCGGCCGTTTAATTCATAACGGTTCTACTACAATGATCAAAAAGTATCCGAACTTTATTTTTAAAAATCAAAGTAACTCAATTATCAACATTCTTATAGTCTCCTTCAAAGTAGTCCCCGTTATTTGCAACGCACATATGCTAATGTTTGATCCAGTCCTGGAAACATCGCTTATACGCGGCAGACGGTATGGCTTTCAGTTCACGCAGCGATTTTTCTTTAATGTCCTCAATCGATTCAAAATGCTGTCCGCAGAATGGTTTTTTCAGTAGAGGGAACAGGAAAAAGTCGCGGGGGGCCATGTCTAGTTAATACGGTGTTTGCGACATTCGTTGAGTTTTTTGTCAGAAAGTCACGCACAAGTGTCGAAGCATGCGATGGTGCGTTGTCGTGATGCAAAATCATGTCCAGTACATTGGACAAAATGTACTGGCACGATCCAAATGATATTCCAACTTTATCTATTATCTCTCACACAGTCAATCAACGATTTTCGAGCACCAATTCTTTCACTTCCTCAACGTGAGTGTTATCTGTTGACGTTGATAGTCTTCCAAAGCGTGGATATATTGTCAATATATTATCGATATATTTGCGATATATTGTCTTCAACAGATTCTCGTCCTTCTTGAAACTTCTTAAACCACTCAAACACACTTGTTTTTGATTAATCATCGCCATAAGCTTTTTGCAACATTTTGAATACATTTGTGAACGAAATTTCGTTCGCAACACAAAATTTTAAACAAATTCTTTGCTCCATATTTTTCGACATCGTAAAAATCGCCGCGCACAAAAATCTTCACTGACATAAAGAACTACCACTCTCAAATGGCTTGATTTACAGAAACGCCATGATTTTTTCACCAAATGTGAAGGACATGTGTCCTTAACCAACTTAAGAAAGCAAACGGATTTGATTTTCCCGCAATTTTTAAAAAATAAAGTTCAGATATTTTTTGATCACAGTAGTATAATGTTTTCTCGAATTTAACGAAGCGTTAAGCAAAAGACAGCTCACCTGTATCGCCCAGGAAATCAGTAATGAGCAGAGTCTCGTCGTCTAGAGCAGTAACGAGGCTATCTGTACAAGTGTTGGTGTTCTCAATGCTGATCTTGATGCTGTCATCTTTGTTGAGCCTCGGATGATTGTTCGCGGCGGGGTTGTTACCGGCGTGGCAGTTGTTGCCGACAGTTTGCTGCTGACCGAGGTGGTGATGGGGAGAGCGTACGGATTCAGTGCTGCTGGTATGTAAACTCACGCCCGTAGTCGCTCTTCCGTTCACCAATCGTAGGCTCGGTGCCCGTCGACCGCCACCTCCTCCTCCACCGCCCCCCACGCCGGTCACGGAACGGCCACCGCCGCCACCACCGCCGCCGCCGCCACCACCACCACCGCCGCCACCGCCGCCGCCGCCGCCCTCGCCCTCCCTGAAACGAATCGGGCAAATATCTTTCTTAACTTTTTTTGCTACGATCCTGACGCGAATAGTCACTTAATATAACATTGTACAAAATTCATCATGCAAGAACGGATCGTTCATTTATTTCGTCCTATAATTCAGATGGGTATTTATTGTAAAGGCCAATTTTATAGAAGGTCCCTAATAAATATGATAAATTGAAGTTTTTAATAAATTGAGCAACAATGTTTTGGATTGTTTTCTTTGCAGTTTGTGACTTCTGTCTAAATATCTTCATTGTAAGTAAATTTTCCCACATTATTAAAAGAATTTAGATTTCATATTAAAAAAAAAGAAACTTGAGATATAGAACATAATTATGAAAATAATAGTTTACACGGTAAAATATTATACGGGATGTTTTACATATGGAACCTATACAAATATATTCCCGAAATCGCTTCTATTTAAAGTCACAGCCATTTTTGTATTACAGAATATCAATCTGTTTATTTTTAAAGGAAGTATTCAAATTAATCTGCTTGCGCTTCTAAACACACACAAGTCCTTTTTAACATGACTGCCTCATGCATACAAAAAATTTCAAGTGTTTGTCGCATTCACTGGCAACCTCAAAAGTGGATAAAGTAATATATATTGTTGCGTTCCGCTCACTTACGTGTGCGTCCAAGCAATAAACAAAGCACATTTATAAGAATCAATTAAACATTTAATAAGCTTGTATTTACAACCTTTGTTGTATTAAGGAATATCAGTCGGGAAATTACAATCTCGCATTCTCGCTCGCAACACGTCAGCTCGATCCGGTAGTCCGGTCTATCCGGTGCGCGATTTTCTCGTCAGTTGTTGTTCATTCATCTTGTTTCCCCCGTTATATCACGGATAACATCATCCGACTTCATATCATCGATCTTTTGATCGATCCGATGCGAAAATGCGAATGAAACAGTATAATATAAAAAATAACGCTATTGTGTCTCACACAAAATAATTATAAATGTCCCATTTTAACTTGACACCCGTAATATCTCAGAAACAATGCATTTACGATGAAATGTTTCAAATAAAAATTGTAGGGTTTAGAAGGAGTTATCAGGTGAACTACTTAAATTTTGGAATTAGAGCCACTTTGAGCCCAAGTTAATTTTTTTCAATGAAAACATCTATTTTTTATTACAGATTCATATTCTATGGAAAAAAAAGAAAATCTTGTTCCTGATTTTTTCGCTAAACCCCCTTCAACGGCCCAAAATAGTGCTCAAAGTTAGTTTAATGAGTGTTATTGACGGTGAAGAAGTAAAATAACCCTATTAGAGATCTCTCAATGAGAAAAAAAGCTTTGGAAAATAAAAGATATAGTGAATATGGGGTATTCACATATGATGCACAAACAATTGTTTTAGACATAAATCAGTGATAGAACTGAATTTTATATAATTTTATACTAAATCCAATTCGGTCTTCTTAGGTCCAGTATAGGGCGTCGAGTCACAAACTTTTATGTCTTTTGGGAAACAAAATACTGTTTAAAATCCGAATCAACGAAGGAACGGACGTTCTTATTTAGAAAAACTGACCGAGGTTATTATTGGATCTTATTAGGACCAACAGAAGTCCTTAAATCCAATATTGAATCTGCTATTTCGAAGATGCAGAAAATTGTTCTGAAATCAAATCTTCAATTAAAATGTGGGTTTCCGCATCTAAATAGATATATCTAGACTTTACGGAGTTTCATAACGGACCCAAGACCCAAATTTGATGCCGAAAAAAGCTGAAGACTGATTTTAAAGTAATCCTGAAGTCAAATATAATAGTTTCAAATCGAAAAAGATCGTGTTGAACCTGATTAGACTCAACACGAAACCCTAATCCAAAATTCAAACAAACTACCAAATCGCCACAAAACGTTGAAATACAAATTTATTTGTCAAATTTATCATTTCTTTAATATCTTCAATATCGAAAATCGGCATTCCATAATGTGTTTTAAAATAAAAACTTTAAGCGCAATTTCGAGCCTATTAAAGAGAGTTTAACGAAAAATTATCAGGAACAAAACTTATTTTTTCCGCAGAATGAGTCCGCAATAAGGAATAGATGTTTTTATTGAAAAAATCAATTTGGATCTTATTAAGTCCAAAGTGGACCTTAAACCTAAAATCTAAGTAGCTCACCTGATGACCTTTTCCAAATCCTACAACTTTTATTGCCGAAACATTTATTTTGAAACATTTTTTTTAAAAAGGCATTGTTTTCGAGATATTACAGTACCTAAATTAAATTGGGACATCCTGTATAAAACAACAGTCTCACAAGAGACGTTACTATGTATCCCTCACAGGAAGAAGGAGATTGTTTCGTGTGTAATTACATATTTACAACTTAAGCTGTATATATACAAAAAAGTTTTACGAAGAGGTGAACGAAATAAAATCAACGAAAGAAATATAATTTTTTAAACATATAAGAACAGTGAATATGTGAAAAGGAAATAGGCTAAACCCTTAAATAAAAAAATGACCAAAAGATTTAACTTATTTTAAATTTCAATTTTAAATTATGATCATTATTTATAATGTTATAAAATATTTCGAAAAACTTTATTGTAGGATGTAAACTGAACTGAGGTAACACGCGGTACCTTGACAATAACATCAATAAGAAGACGAGAGTGTGTTGGAGCGGGAGTCTGGGTAACTCAGTGGTTTAGAGCAGTCGCCCGGCAAGCGAAAGATCCGGGTTCGAGTCCCGGTCCAGCAAACTCCGGCTTCCGATATACTTTTCTCTCCAATTCTTACATTATAATTATTTAGAATAATTTTGTAGAATATTTATTATAATTATTTAAAATAATTTTATAGAATATTTATTATAATTATTTAGAATAATTTTGTAGAATATTTATTTATGATACTATTACGATATTTACTAAGAAAGTAATTTTTACACTTAGTTTGGTCAGATTAATTTTTTTTTTTCGAGAAAGAGACGAAGTCCCTCTATCGCTTACATGTTTACTGTTTCTATATATTAATATATATATATATATATATATATATATATATATATATATATAGAAACA